AAGCCAAGCAAGAAAAGATGAATAAGTTGCGATTTCGGGAGGCGCTTTCGGTGCCTGGTTCTCAGTCCAACGGAAAGTTAATGCGCGGCTGCACATTATAGAGCGCGCGGCTACCGATCTAGGCTGCCGGTGAAATGCATGACCATAGGTCGGATTAAATGAGCAAACTGGATGTACAACAGCATGTAACGATGAATTGTGAAGGCCGGCTTAGAGCGATTCAAGATGACATGTCCTATGAGCATCTCAACTTGTGTGGCGGCTTAAAAGAATTTGCGGTCCTCTCCAAGATTGGGTTCAATCGAGAATTCAGTCAAAATCACCTCGCCACAAAAAACAAACAGGCAGAACAGCAAATCGGGAGCAGACGAGAAAATGTCTTACCCTTTGAATAATAAAAATTGACTTCAGGAATCCAATGAAATGGACAGAACAACAACGTTCTTAATTGTGCCTGGGATGAAGACAAGACCTGGGGTTTTTTTTTTTTCTGAACCGACACCCCCAAAACACAAAACTACAATCCACTGTGGTCACACCACTCTGCTGTTGCTATGGAGGTACACATATACAACGCTTCCACCATCCTGCCCTGCGCCCCTCTTTCATAGCACCCCCCCCCCCTCCCGCCCACCAGCTTAAATCCAATCCAGTCTAACAGCGGTATTCACCCAGCCAGCCCTCCCCATTTTACCTCCTGCTGGCAGATTAGGCTACACTCCCCTGTCCCTCCTCTCTCCCCCTTTCTACCACATCCACTGCACCCTCCAGCTCCCTCTCGATCCTTCCCTCCTCCGCTACTACATACTCTCCCTCCCGTTTTCCCCCCTACACACCCTCTCTCCCTCCCCCAACTGTCTGTCCCCCGACGGTGTAATCCAATCCCTGTAGGGCCAGAGCCAGGGGCCTGACACGGTCCTGACCCAATTAGAGGCCTGCTGCCAGCTAATTAACCCCGGCCCAGCCCTGGTGCCTGGCGCCTGATACTCCCAAACCAACTACGGCGCTAATTTCATTAATACGCCACTACGGTCTTCTGTCCTGTCCTGTCCCTTTCCCCTGTGCGGCTGCTGCTGCCAAAGCCAAGAGCGGAGCCGCCCTTAACCAGGCAGGGTAGCGGCCCGGATGCGATCGAAAAGGAGGAGATGAACAGCAGCGAGATAGCAGGATGAAAAAAAAGAAGACGAAGCAAAAAAAAAGAAATCAGGAGCTGATAAAAGAAGATGGATGGATGGTTATGTGAGAAAGAGAGACAGATGGGGGGCCACAGAGCAGGTCGAATCAACGATCGAACTGAGCGTCAGCCCCTCACTGTATAATGATACATTACACTGTGCAATCAATAAGTCAATGGGCAACACTTGTTCAGCACCGCTGATGATGGAAATATTAGCCTGACACTACTTTGCTGCCTCTGCACGTATTGACAGAAGTCTGACTTAAACTTAATTTTCTCGCTACTGCAGCATCAGTATAGCTAAGAGCCAGATGCCAGCGGGAGGTTTTGGGAAGCTTGGAGGGAAGTGACTGACACGAAACAGGAGGTTGGGGAAGTTTTACAGACGCTCCTTCAAAATCTGTCTGCATCTAGAACACAGTATCTACACACTGGAGCACAGCCAAGTGACAAACATGCATTACAGAAAGCCCAAAAAATGTGTCTGCGTGACTACTTGTGACAGAAAGTTAGTGATGGACTGTGTTTATGGGGGGGTGTGTGTATATATATACATATATATATATATGAAACAAATACATCACTGTCTCCCCTCAAACATGCAAGAGCATTTCTCTTGGTTCTCTAGGAGTCGTTAAGCAGGGGAAGAGACAGACAGTCTGTTGAGGACTCAGAGTTTCGTGGGGGAATCTCACCACACCACAGCAGCCCACTGTGAACTCTGTCATTAAGATAGATTACTGCTAGTTACCCCTGGCCCGCACTGACTTCACACACACCCCAGATGAACGCTAGCTGGCTAAGGGACAGAGTGAGCTAGATACTACTTGGCTTCATGTTCAAAGATCTCATCATAGGGATATAAGGTGGCTAATGTCTCCCCCTTCAGTCTACTTTGGGATTTAAGTTTCTTAAGTATCTGTGAACACACTTTTTTCCTTCTTGTGGACACATTCACAGCCATAAAATGGACTAGGAAATCAAAACATCTCCCTGTGTCCCTTTACAAACTTGGCTGGATGTTTTGTTTTGTTATTTCTCTGTTAAATTCCGCAGACGGTTACCAGTGCCAGTTTAATGCAGCTTGAGAGGGGCAGAGTCAGACGGTGATGTGGTGAGGCTGGCCGTCTGTGTGTTGTTTTCTGCCTGTCTATCAGAGGGCCAGGGAAGCTTCCTGCCATTTTGCTGGAGCGCAGAGTTTCTTTGAAGGGACAGGAAGGCAGAACTGCATTTCCCACAGCCTGATGTGGGCTGCTGGGCCAGATCTGACTCTCATAGTCTGATTGATAAATAGTCACACACATACAAGTCCTTTACCATCCCCTTCACACACACATACACTCCTCCACAGCAGTGACAGTCAATTCCCAGCTCACAATAAAGCTAGAAAAAGAGTCAAGAGTCGGCGCTATAGTGAGAAGGCCGTGATTTTGTGGAACGGTGCCTTCTAATTACTGAAAGCGACGTTGGGGCCACACGGACAGCGAACGAAGGTTATTTCTGTGTCACACTGGAATGTTCTGCAAATAATCCTACGGCACGCAATTTCAAACCTATTTCCTATAACCTGATGCATCTCTCAGCATGAAATGGTGGTCTCCGTTTGAATTGAAAGTGAACCAACTGTTACTATGTTCGAGATTTCCGGAAAGTCAAAGAGAGGTGACCACAGAACTACATCAATTTAGCAAGCAAACAAGACTGGAATGCCTCTAATTATAGTCAAAACCTCTTCTCCTGTCGTCTCCTAGTGGTTCAGACTAGATGACTGCATGGGTTCAAATCACCGCTCATGAAACCCTGCATGCATCTAGCTTTCTCTGTGATCACCACTGATGGGGTGTCGGAAAGGTTGCAGCAGTATCACATCACTGTCAGCATTAACATTATTAGCATAGAGTAGAAAATGCATTCTTTTTTGGATGCAAGACTTCTCTCCTTGCCATCACAGTAACATCAAAAACAAAACAAAAATCGGAGGCCCAAGACATTACAGCCTCAATTGTTTTTTCCTCCTCTGTGGCCTGATTCCTAATAAGTCCTCTGATTAGATTCCTCCGTCGATATCAGTGGGCAGCCGTACTCACGCCATGGCGCTCAAAACAAACAGTTATTCAGCTCTGCCATTTGTTCTAAAAGGTGTGGGGCTGGGAGTGCAGAGGAGAGGCAGGGTGGGAAACTTCAGCTGGGCTACTGTACATATCTGGGCCTTGATGTGGCAACAATGTGTTCAGCAGAGGACGGGTGCCGCAGTGTTGGGTCACTTCCTTCCTACTGAGGCTGAGAAAGAAGTGGGAGACCAGACGGACTGAGAGACTGTGGCCAGATACTGATTTCAGATCAGTTCGCGGTCCCGTCCATTTAGCAGGGGAGAGACGGGGGTGAAGCTTGTCCTCGGGACTGTGTGTGTTTGTGTGTGTGTGTGTGTGTGAAGAATACGCAACACCGCTGAGCGTGGGAGAGTGTGTGGGGAGAGGCGAGAGACACCTTAGGCCCCGTGTGAGCGCTGCACAGTTCCCTGAATGGACCCGATGGTACACAGACACACATGTACACACTCGCACACAAACACACAGGCAGACCATCTATTAGTGTTACCTAACTAAGCACTTGGAACAATGACCAGTAGCTAAACTTCCTCGCTTTGTCTGCCTCCGTATAACTTCACAAGAGCTTTCAGACGGTTCTCACACAGACACACAAATACTTGTTTTGTTTCTCACTTTTACACACAAACACTCTCACAAGCACATGTATACACAGATGGGTAGGAGACAAAAAAATCAAGCATTACAATACTGTAATCTGTGAGAGTGTCTATAGAATTTAAAGATTGTGTTCAGAGATTAAATATCAAGTCAGTGTGTCTTTAAGTAATAGAAGCCAGAAAATGAGTAAACTATATGCCTATTAAACAAGTATCAAAGGACACGTGCATCAATCTTCTGTGCCAGGAACCTCTGTTAGCACACAAAACAAAAAGAGAGCAGTCATCACAATCCATGACAGAGACAGTTTATCAGAGGTAGAGGGGCTGAGCAGGTCAGTGAGAAGGGAAGTGTTGTCTGTAAAACTGTAATGGCCTCTCTCACCCTGGACATCCATCAGTCATCTGAATCCTGGCATTGAACCAGCTCCCACTCTGCTCTACGCTGACCCTTAACTCAATGAGCCCAAGCTCTTCTGATAAAGCGCTTGTAAGCACACGTACACCCACGATCCTGTATTCAGACTTTATGAGAAAAAATTGCTGGTAGGTGTTTATGCATGTGAACTCCCGCAGAAGCCCTTTATCTCAGCAGTTCCATTAGATTGTGAGGGATTGGCTGCCTGACAGACAGACAGAAAGTGACAGAGGAGGGTGATGTGCCCGACTCTGCCCTGTTGACCCTAGTCTGGCCTCTGTAGATTCTCCCACGGGCTCCTATTTTACCCTTCTGTCAAAAACTGGATATCAACCGTTTGATAAAACTGTCAGTCAAAACAGTTAAAATATGACTCAAGTAAACAAAGATAGAGCAAACTACTATTACTGAAGATATGAGCTTACAAAACACTCCACAGCATCATCTGTATTTCGGAAACATGGTCACCAAGTTTTAGCATCACTGTCTTTTCCCACGGCAATGCAGACTGCTGCTGTGAACTAACAGTCACAAATTGTGGTATTTACTAGAGGTCTTAGATAGTAATTTATCGCCTGGCCTGATAGTTACCACTTAGCTACATAGCATCAGGTTAGCCAGTGTGAGCTACAGCTGACACCACGTCAGTTCAAAGCATAACAAAAGAGAAACATAACACACAAAAATGAAGTCCTTACCAGGTATCCGAATGAAGGACCATCCATGCCGTGGGTAGAGGGCCATCACACCCCCAGGGCTTTGTGGGTGGAAGGCATTGGCCCTCCTACACCAGTCTGAGGCAAGTTCAGGGGAGCCGTAGAGGAAACACTGTTTGAAGATTGTGCCCCCTCCAGCACGTGTCACCCGCCATTCGTACTCTGCACTGCGGTCGTTGCAATAACGCTCCATGGGAACTGCTGTCACCTAGGAAACCAAAAGGAAAGATAGGGTTTTCTATATTTGAAACAAAAGATAATGTTGCGTGGTGGAGAGAGAAGGGAGATTTCAGGATAATGTATTACAAGTATATTAACATTGACTTCTTTAATCTTTTAAATTAAACTATTTATTAAAATAACACAACCTAGAGGTCATCTCTACTGGACGTAGAAGGAAAATCATTGTATGAAGACAGGTTTCACTAAATCAGCAGATTCTGTGTGTGTGTTTGTGTGTATAGGAGGAGCGCGAGAGCAAGCTTAACAACTGGTGAATAACCTGAGCAAGAAGCCTTTTTTTTAGAGGCTCTGTTTGTTTTAAATGCAGCTGGAAGCCACAGTGGTGACCCCCGCACCCCAACCACACACAGTCACACACACACATATTCAGAGATAAGAGCTCCTCATTGTTGAAAGCCTACAAAGGCAGCTTGCACAGCGCTTCCCTCTCTTCCCTTTCCACGACCACCCAAATGCTTGTCTGTCTTGAATGGGCCAGCAGAAACACACACACACACACAACAAACACCACCTTTAAGGCACTGGCTGTTCACACACACAACACACACACACACACATACCCTTGGAGTGGCAGCTAGCAGAAACTTGGGTGGCAGTGTGGGCTGGCAGGGCCGTAACGAGGAGGTGGCAGAGTTTCGACTGTGGATCATCACGTCGGTGTGTCCCATCATCCCGGGCCTTAAGGCTGTGAACACCAGGTCCTGAAACACACACACACACACAACAACAACACACACACACACACAAATCTACATTACTATCCTGTTTTCACTAAGGTCAACAATTCACAAATATAGTGATTATATTTGAGTGGTGAAATGTATTAAATTACTAGCAATTTGAGAAACATTAGAGTGGATGTTACGCCTCCAGCTGAACTGATTCCTGCTTTGATTGGTAGCAAAGTGGGGAGCTTGAAGCAAATATTATTTTCAAATTAAGAGGCGCTGCAAAACAGAGGTAAACAAACTGAAACCTACAGAGGTTACTGAGTGCAGATTATAAATTGCTCCAACATTATTAATTTACTCCAAGGGTACATATGATTATGCAGCTTATATGATTTCAGTTGCGTATATATACACAGGATAAACTGCATGTTTGATCATGCAATCTTTTCTTTTGAGCAAGACATACATTATGCATACATTTGACCAAAGGTTGATACTGAGGTTAAAAATGATGAATAATTCAAGTGTAATGTGGTAGTAGGTGTTAAAGGACTATATAAAAGTTATGTGTAGAAACGGTGGATACACAGTGCCATCTAATGGCAGAGTTTACAAAATGACATTCTAGCCAGGCTCAGACCCAGTAATCATTTCTGTACTTCACTGGATTTGATAAGCAGTGACAGTAAGACATACAATACATACAGAATGACATACGTACCAAATTATACACAATTACATTAAGTATATATCAGACATGTAAAGAAAATCCCCAAAAAGATTTTCCAACATATCTAAATAGATGTGATTCATATTGGGATGAACAGAGGGAGAGACTGACAGACAGAGAGCCCATCCGAAGAGTTGGAGGTGTCCAGAGTTGGCCTGCTTCTTTCAATTCTTCGACAGGAGAAAGAAAGCTGAAGGCAACACTGACCACACTGTCAAGTACGCAGCCAGAGAGCGATGAAGCAAGCAGAGAGAAGAGGCAGTGTGTGCCAACTACACACAGCTTCAAAAGAAAAATGAGCAGTTGAAAGAAGTTGGCATAAACTATGTGGGAGTGAGTAATTTCTTTAAGCTCAAGTTGGAGTCTGGGGGTCAGTACGGTCATAAAGTATATATACAGTATTAGCTCTCCAGGTGTCTGTAAGTTTCTCTTTCTCTCATATCTGAACTTGCTTCTTAAGCTTTTTCTGCTCTTTTGTTCCTTAAGCCGCTCCAGGGGGGAACCTAAGACGCTCCGCTGCTGCCTGACTCAGTGTGATGAGGCCAAGAAAGGAAGAGGAGGATGGAATTACCCTGACAGCATTTTCTCCTGAGTATTTTCCACCAACAAGTTAAGTTAGCATTGAGGATGGAAACGTGATACATATCTGTACAGATAACCGTTTTCTGGGTGAAAGATTTGAGGGGATGTGTTTTTAATGCTCTTTTAGTTCAGCGGAATGACTAAAACACTCCTGCAGCAGTGACCTAGTAGTGTATCTGCAGGCTGCAGCTGTTCACGTCTTTTTGAGGTGGTCTGTATGTTTGAACTGGCACCTATGCTTTGTACTGTCTCTTTTTAACTATTAATTAGGTTTCTACATTGCCAAATACAATATGTTGAGGAAATATGTGCTGTGTCAATTTAATCGTGTGGTTCTCAGCTGCTGAATCCAACACATATGAAATCATTTGAATGCAGTTGAAAAGAGCTGTGCTGTGCTACATTTGCCCAGACTGCTAAGCAAGCAAGTATAAGAGCTACCATTTAAATGATCCACTCCACCTTCTGCTACTATTGTCAGGTTTCCTAACCAGCTTTATTATAATATACCCTCTGAGGTAGTGAAAGTACAGCACTCAGCTCAACTTGATTCATATCACACTATAACATTAACAAATAGGAAATATAGAAACATTCGACTAAAAAGTAGTTTGGTCTTTTCTTTTTTTTATCTTGAAAATGTGATTTTCCTCCACATGTCTGTGACACTGGATACATATAGAGGGAGAGAGGACAGTGTTACTGGGTCACAGGGCTACAGAGGGATTGGATTCCACACTGGATCCCAGAGGAGAGAGAGGAAACCTGGGGCAGAGAGCAAGCTGTGTGGCCAAACACTGACTAATGCTCTGGGGGCAATTTCAGCATCGTCAGCAGCACATGCCTCACTACTTGAGTTTGGCCTGTTTGTCATACACCCATGTGTACTGCAGATCGCTACTCAAGGGGTTCTTGTACATACATTTTCCATGTGACTGCGTTTGTGTGTTTCTTACCTGTAGGACAGTGCTGGTGTGCGTGTTGGGGAAATGGGCAGGTCTGTTCAGCCACAGAAGTAGCTCCTTGCGAGAAAGACACTTACTCCGGGGCTGTGACCTGCCTTCATCCCCCTCCAAGTCTCTGGTTTCCTCCTGACCTTCTTCTTCAAGTCCAAACAGGCGCTGATAGTGGAGCCGATATGCAGCTTTGAGGGACAGAAAAAGGGCTAACCATCTGTTAAAGAAAGTAGCACAAGGCAGAAAGAAAAATGTAATTACAAAAACAATGTTCATAGAAATACTTCATAAAGAATTCTGCTACTTCCAAAGTGCAGAGTCAACTGCAGCATCAAGAGCTAGTCTCCCACCATATCTCACGTCTTTCAAACAAAGACATCAACAGTACTGGAGATGGAAACTTAAAGCCCACCTCACTAAGGTGCCTTGCAGCATGAGATTGGACATCTCAGCTGGCGACACGTCGATGAAACGCAGGAAGGAGAAACAGCTTCCTTTGTCATCACCTGGAACAGTAAAAAGAGAATATAAGATGATAAATACGAGACTAAACAAAGAATAAAATAAGAGAAACTGTGGAAATAAACAGTAAGAATAGGCAGGAATGATGGAAACATCAAAGGAGGAACAGGGGAACTGGGTTGAAAGTGAGATTTGAATGTCAAATGAAAGAGATCATAAAGAGCTTTGTGTACATCTGAATTCAAAGCTTAATACAAGCTCACCTTTTCTGTGAAAAAGAGACTGCTGGATGTTATTTGGAGAGAACGGAGACAACAGCACTTGAAGTAATCTGAGGAGAAGGATATAGAGACAGACAGAGTTTCACCACTGAATGTGATAATAAGCTAAATGAATTCAACGGGTCCAGTCCCAGTCTGAACCACAACATTTCTAAATTTTAATAGCTATAATTGGAATAATAGCCTCTCAAATTTGCACAAGAACAAAGATTTTCTAAGAAAAAGAATATATTTGACAGTGTTTTACACAGTAATTTCAAATGTAAACCAAACCCTATTCAAAACAATGACTGCAGAAATTGTGACAGACCTGTTTTCATTGGATTTTGGGCGTACTTGTCAAGATTAAGTGTCTTTGTGAGTGTGTGTGTACGTGTAGATACTGTGTTTGTGTGGAAGCACTTACTTGTTTTTGGCCTGGTTCTGTGCATGGATGAGGCCATGGCGGTAGAGAAACTTAGACATGACGTAGGGCTTGAGGGACATGTGGAAAGGAGAGCGTGTCTCCTGGCGCTCAAACAAGTCAGGGTGGTTACACACCTACACACAAGCAGACACAGACAGTGTATTTAGAAAAATAGACAAAAGAGCCGGCACTACTCTTACGCTTCCAAGACAGGCAATTCATTGTTTAATTGTACATCTTGTTCCCAGAAATAAAACGCAGTGCCATTATTACTATTGGTTGGAACACTAAAATCCATTTGAAAATCCAGTGCAGGAAAAATATTTTTTATAATATGATACTTTAAATTATCCTCAAATCATCAGGACTAATCATCAGGACTAAAGATTTGACAAAAATAATCAAAACCGTTTTTATCTGTAATTATCTAGCTGTATTTTATTCTATTTTTGCACTGGAAACCAAAACGAAAGCCACAACTCCTACCTTCCTGAACTGCATCACCAAGTTCATGAGGGAGGAAGTGGTGCTGTGGGACTGCTGGGCCGTGCCCATAGAGGACTGCAGCAGATCCTCAATAGAGATCTTGTTCCTCAGAGCCTGGTAGAGCAACCTCTGCCGAGACGTCAGCTGACAGTAGGTTAGGATCTCAATCTGTAGAGAGAGAAAACAGGAAATTGTTTGATTTCAGATACCTTCTTATTTTACATTTTCACTTCTTCAACACCACTGAATGATTAGAACATAAAAAAGTATTTGTACTGGGCCACTGACACTGTAAGCTCTATGGTTTTCTTAAATTTGTTTTGTGAGGTTAAGGGATTGAAGAGTGACGACTAAATTGCGCAAGGAAGGATGTGTAATATGACAACAGTAAATGGGAATGTTCTCAAATTGGACCTGGTTAGTAAGAAGATTGATTTACAGTGTAAATGTTGGCTGCATAAATAATGAGTGGCAACAGTAAAGACAAATGATTCAGCATCACTGCTGTGTTAAGCTTCCAATAGAACACACAGTATTTTCACATGGGCTGAACGAAAAAAATAAATTTATGGCTGCATACTTCATGCCCAGCTTGACCCACATTCTTTAAACACACATCAAAATCTCTGGTTTTATCTAGTGTCACGCTTTGATGAAAGCAGTGGAACTGAACAATAACAGACCGTAAAAAAACCAACCATAAACTACGAGTGAACCGTACAGACAAAACAAGAGAAACCAACAAGAGTGCAGGAGAAAAAGGAAGTGGGCTGGCAGCACTGTATGTGGGTGTGAGGGGAAAGTGAAAAAGACAGATGTGGGGGAGCCGTGAACTCTGCCATTCCTCTGACTCTGTGTATCGAGACTCCCACAGTGCATGAGTCAGTATGTGTGTTCGGCGTGTGACAGCAAGAGACCATGAGTCCAACAGCTGTCAAGAGGATCTGCCAGCACAAGCATTGCTCACAAGCTTGTTACAACACTTTGTGTATCAATGATGTGTGCAGGGAGACAGATGAAGGAAGGACAGGAAGGGTGCAGGTTAAAACAGGAGAGGAAAGAAGCTGGGCTAGATGATGAAAGAATCTCATTATGGCACAAATTGTTTTTGTCGTTTGAAACTGAGGATTGATATGACTTTTGTCCAATTAAATTCAGCAAACAAAGTTCGCTCCTCTACCTTGTCTGAGAGCTCGTTTTCCACATCCTTCTTGATTCTGCGCAGCATGAAAGGCTTAAGGATCATGTGCAGTCTGGAAAGTTGGTCTGAAACACAAACATCAAACAATCGATGTTTAGCTACAGAACGTATCACATGCAACAGTGAGCAGAAACAAAAGTTAAATGTTGGCTCACAAATGAGCAGGAAAATGCTGTCAGCTATGAAACTTATGTTCTCAGACACAAGAGTTGTATACTCACTCTCATCAATGGCTGACTTGTTTTCAGCGTGGCTCTCGATGTCCTTGGAGAACCACTCGTTAAACTCTTCATGGGAATCAAACAATGTAGGCATGATGAAGTGCAGCAGGGCCCAGAGCTGAGAGACAGTAATAACATACGCTAGTCAACAGTTCTGTCTTACTCACATGAACACACACACACAACACACAACACACACACACAACACACACACACACAGCTCACCTCTGCCATGGTGTTCTGGATTGGCGTCCCGGTGAGCAGCAGTCTGTTTCGACACTGGAACTGCAAAAGGATTTTCCACCGAACGCTGAAAAAAAGAGTTAGGAAATGGTTAACGGCTGGACTTAAGTAGTGCAATCACTACTAGTATTTCGTTTATTTAACACTTAACTGTACTGTAATTACACCAATTACTCAAACGGTGGAGCACTGTACATTTTGGCGAGTGTCCAATAGTAGCTGTGAAATGACACATACGTATGTAGTTATAGAGATTAAGAGCTATATTTTCCACCATATTTCAGACTTTTTGTTGATTTTCAAATGTTTTAAAGAGCCAAGTTATTACAAATTGTTAGTAAAGCAGTACGAAACTATGTCAAAACTAGTGGCTAGGATAAGGGAGAATGCAACTATCAATCTATACAACTATGACAAACTTTGGAAAACGTATATTAATTGTATAAATGTATATTAGACTCCGTTCATAGTGAGTGGGCTGAAACATGCAAAAACATCAGTATTGTCCTCTAAACTCTGAAAAACATTCTTATCAAGTATAATAAATATAAGTACTGGATATCAACACATTTTGACACACAGGAGCCCTGCGATGTGTTTGGGAATACAGTACTACATGATGACGCAGCAGCCCCGTTAATGTTTTACCTGGTGCTGCTTTTCAGCGCCTGGGCCTCATCCAGAACCATGTACTGCCACTTGACTCTCTGAAAGTACTTGACGTCCTGGACAACCAGCTGGTAGCTTGTGATGACCACGTGGAATGGTGCGTTTTGTGTGTAAAGGGTTTTCTATTCAAACGTAGAAACAAAACAAAAAGAGGACAGAATTTACAGACCAAACAACATAATAAAGCATTTCATGGCATTGAATCTTTATAACTCCCTGTTCATCACCATCATCATCATCATCATCATCTCTTCCTTACCTGGCTCCAAAATTTCCGAATCACCTTGCGATCATGAGGATTCCCCCAGTATGGCAACACCTGACGGACAAATAAGTGAAGTTAAAATGCTTACATTTACACACAGCACTGTAAAATAAGAATAGAGCTGCAGTGCGATCCCAGGGGAAACACTTAGGCATAGCATCATGTACGAATCACTGCTTCACTTGCTGAGTTGTTGATGTAAAATGCAATGTGAAAAGATTTACACATCATTACATCACTCAACACACGCTGGCATTCCATTGTTTTCGGTCAGTCTTGCTTTAAGTGTTCAGGAAGCTTATCTTCAAACTGTGTAATAAGGTCTTTTCACACCTCATTAGCAAAACAGACAGGAATTGATTTATTTTCAAACTCGCCATGGGGCGAAAAAAAAGGACAATAGTTGAGGCATATTATAGTGTGCTTGCTGTGTGTGTGTGTGTGTGTCGTGTGTTGTGTGTGTGTGTGTGTGTCCACGCAAGCGTAGCTGACATTTTGATGTGTTTGATAAATTTAGTTTTTTTAACATTCAAGAATGCTGTTAGTGGCTGGCTAACACATGCACAAAGAGGTGCAGCCACTCAACAATCAAGTATTAACAGCTTTTGAGTCATGTCTTAACACAAGCAATGCTACCAATGTTCCTAGTACAATACTGCCCCCTAATGAATAGTTTTAGGTATGCTATATCCTTTTTAGTTCATAGATGTCTGACAGAATTTCTTAAGAGCCAAGCAGCACTGGGTGCATTAGGGGGGTAAAAACGACTTAAGAGAACATTAGAAATGAGGATGTCGGGATTCCAGCGGATGTGTTTTTGCAGGTGTTTCCGCCAGCGCGCTCACTCAGTGGCGGCGTGGATTCTCACCTTGAATTTGGGGACAAAGCGGGTGAACTCCTGGTGCCAGTTGTTGAGTGTGGATGCAGGAGAGATGATCAGGAATGGACCCCAGATGTTGTCTCTCTGTGCAGGAACAGAAAACGAGAATACAGCGTCAGCCGCCACAACAGGTGGCCTTTGGATGTGCCTGCGTGAGCACCCAATAACAGGAAGCCCTGGAGGAACACAGCATGCATCTTCCTGTCTGTGATAAGTTCAACGCTGAAAAGCGCACATTTCCCCTAAATTCCACTTGTTCTCCTTTTGGTGTTATGAGACCAGACGATCGACAAATCAGCTACTCACAACAATGAAATAAGTCATATGAGTCATTTAATGCAATGCGCAGCCAGAAACAAGGGACTCTTTAAAGGATGCAGGTGCACAAAGAAAGCTGGATGTTAGATGTTTTCATAAGTCAGTAACAGAAGCAGAGACAATCGAATATTCCACAAAGCTTTTTGGAAATGTGCGGTGAAAGAAACCCTTTGGCCTGGAGCGCTCTCTCACCTCCGCTAGGTGTGCCAACAGGGCGATACTCTGGACTGTCTTCCCCAGTCCCATCTCATCTGCCAGGATTCCATTGATTCCCTGCAGTAAGAAAACAAAGGAGAAAATAAATCATTCAATGTGATTTAATAAGCACATAATAATATGGAATGCCAAAGAACTGTAATACATAAAATGCCCTCAAACGACCTGAGTGTTTTAATTGAATCAGGCATGCACAACATGACCAAAAAGAGCACTGCAACTAATGTACAGTATTATGTAAGTGGAAGTAAAGATAATTCTTATAAATACAGGTTATTAGTGCAATAATATTAGTATACCCTTACAAAGACATTAGCATTGAACTCTCTTAGCCACTCAATACCTCTAGCCATAAAATAAGCCGATACAAATGTTATATTTTAAACATAACTGAAAGCAAAGAGAGAAAGAATAAGTGTTACAGAGAATATTGTAATAAATCAGACACCCAAAAGTCCAGACAGGACTCTAAAGTCGTGACGCAGACGTGAGTACCTGTTCATAGAGGTTGGCCAGCCAGTTCATGCCCTTGAGTTGGTAACCCTTGAGTTTGCCGTTGAAGATGGTGGGCTGAGGAATTTCTTCACCTGCATGGATAGATGGGTTGGAAAGGCTGTAGCTCTCTCCAAACCCAGAGCCGGAGGAAGAGCCACAAGCTGCGTGTAGTGACGCGCTACGACTGTCCTTAGCCTCCTCATCAAACATCCGCGTCTACAGGGAGAGATCTGGGGATTAGTATGGACACGGTGTGTGTGGGCTTAGCGCACCTCTCCGGGTGTGAATGCATCAACTTACTCGCTCTTGATGAATCTGGTAGGCTTCCTTGGCATTCCTCAAGGCCTGGGACTTGTAGTGTTCACTATCTGAAATTGCATACAAACAAGCTTGCATAAAACAGAAGAGTCCACTTCAGTTGCAGAGCCCCATTTCCTTCCCACACACAAGAGCATATTGCCACGTCTAAAACAATTCTACAGGAGAAAATATTACCATGAATTTGCGAATAAGCAGAAAATTAAGCAGAATAATGTCATTAATAAAAAGTGGATTGTAATTGGCAGTGATAAATGATTTGCTGGTCAACAAATGACCTGCTTTATATTTTTAGTGGCTCTCTATGATCTTCAGATAGAAAAGAGGCTAAAGAGGCAATAAATATGATGATAACTGGTCCATCTGGCATTTAATTTGATACTGACATATTTCAGGGCACTTGGTCAACAGTTTCTCAACCATCAACACTGAGTTCCGGTAACTGACTGTGCTCCTCTAACAGAATAAACTAGTCTGAGCTGTTCATACCATAGTCCTCCTGTCCCATGTTGACCATTACGCCCCCTCCAATGTCAATCTGTCTCTGTGCTGCAGTGTCTTCCAGCATTCTCAGAATTTCCTCCTGGGCTGTATCTCCCTCTGGACCCCCCATGCTGGCTTTACCGCTCATGAAATGAGCATACAGCTCTGTCTGGGTGATGAGGAAATTCAGTTTACGCTGCTGACGCTTTGCCTGCAGGAGACAATGGAGAAAAGCAGAGAAAAACAACATGCTTTCATATCGTCACTCAAGATGTTCTGTGTAATATAATATAAATCTTTGTGTTTTTTTTTCTTTCATATTTTCAGAAGTTATATTGATGCAAATATTTCCATTAAAACATTAGCTGTAGAAAGCCAAATGAGGCACCTCTAAAAAGCTATTTCTATTCCACCTACTTCTCTCATTTCTTCGTCCAGTTTACGTTGCTCCAGAGCCTCCTTCTCTGCCCTCTTCCTGTGCTCCTTCTCCACTTTATCGTATTTCTTCCAGTAAAGCATCATCTCCTTGGTGAGGCGGCGAGCCCGAGGTAACGTCTCCTTGCAGTTCTTCTGGGCCTGGATAGCTGCACGGCGAACCTCTCTCATGCACTGATGAGCCAACTGGGAAGAAAAAAACAGAGATTAAAGCAAGGAAATTTTGTAGGAAATGTTGTATTTGATCTACAATTTAACCTTGCACAATCAGGAAATAAAGAGCCACTGTCGAGAATCAAACTCAGAATATTTCCGAATGATACTTAAAAGTCAATTTTAACAACACAGTAGTGTGTAAACTTTACTTACCTTTTTAGCATTGGTCAATACTAAGTTCTTAGCTGAGGTCTTCTGCTTGAAAGTCTGCAAAATAGATATAAAAATGTATAAATGGGACAATTAGGACCAATTACCTTAAATCTGGTCCTGAACATTTCACAAGAAACTCATGAGCATTAACTTTTGACCATCTGTTAATCAGTGTCATGCATACAAACCTTGGGGATCTCCTTTTTAGCAATGGTGAGCCAGACCTTACGTCGGCGTGCATTCAGCTGATCAATGGTGAGATGTTTCTTCTTCACCATGGGCAGCGGAGCATCATGGGAGAACTTCGCAAAGATCTTGGTGACATATGGACGGCCTTCATCCAGAAACTCTCCCTCTCCCCGTTTCTTCTTTTTCTTCACCTTTTTCAGTTTGGCTAAAAAAGGAAAAAGGAAGTGAATGATCAATTTGAAGTTTTCAGCTATTCCAGTAAATACTCAGTTATTTTTGCCTTGTGGCATGGACACAATCACGACTTTGACAGATTCCAGAGATTTCTTCTTTTTTTTTTTAACTTTACCCTTGAATTTTTTCTCATCTTTGATTTTCTTCTTCTTTGGGCCAAGTAGGTGGCGCTGTTGCTCATAGAAGGGGTCATGAGTAGAGAGGAGTCCAGTGCTGTAATACTGATATTGGTGAAGCTGCAGGAAAAATATACACAGATGGAAAAATTTAAATAAATGCAAAAAATACAATAACATTACAAAAGCATATGTCAGAGGTAGTCTACATATAACTAGGCACTGTATTTATTTTTGTGCGTTTGTACCTCCCGGTCAGAGTGGAACTTGCTCTGATGCTGCCTGGTGAAGCGATGTAGCTTCAGCATGTCATGTAGCTCCTCCCGAGACAAACTGAAGTCAGAGTCATCTGAGTCTGTGTCAGAGTCTGTGGTGTCGTCACTCAACAGGATACTCTGCAGGCGACAGAGGAGGAACATGGGTAAAGGTAGAGTGTGCATATATACATATAGGTATATAGTGTGTAAGAAAACAGACAGAGCATTGCAGGGAAATGTTGTCAACCAGGAGGTACAGGGAGGGACAACATTGGTAATAAGGCTGCAACTACTGATCTTTATATCTATCCATCTATTAGTTATTCTTATAATCTTTGAATCAACCTAATGCTTAGATCTGCAGTACAAAATGTCTATAAAATACCTTAAGCCATTTCCTGTTCTTCTTCAGCTTGGAGAAATTGTAGAAGCTAGTTTTATCTGCCTTTTGATCTGTGGAGTTTACAGGGAAAGAAAAAACATCACATAATATATATATATGTGCATGAACAATAACCCCCATGAACAATTAAAAGACACCAGCGAGGGTGTGTATGTGTCGTACAATGTTAATAACATAAATATTACTGTTTCTGGATGTATCTTACCTTTACCTTGCAGCAGAACTCCGTTAAGGGGCTTCCCCTCTGCCAACCCATCCCCTTGCTCACATGGCTCACTCTTTACAGTCAAAGCTGTATGCTGAGTGGAGGGGTCCAGGGACAGCCCTGTTCCCAAAGCACCATCGCTGTCATCGCTGTCATCGCTGTCATCGCTAGAATATGAGAAATATGTAGCTGTAAACCCAAAATTTGCCTTTAACAACAAAACTGCATTTACAGCACTAAACTCTACATCCAAGCATGAGCCATCTTTAATTTCAGTACTTATAACAACTGATCCTACAAAGTGCTCATGAACAAACCGGAGTCTGTGCCTGTACCTGGTTATGTCTCTGTTGAAGATGGTAGCTGTCTGGCGCAGGAAATTGTCCAACCTCAAGGTTCTTTCCAACCGCTGCAGGTACAGAGGTTTGGCCAGGCAAGAGCTCCCTGATGCCCCAACCTCCAGCCGGCCTCCCTGCCCTGACGCCATTCAGCACAGACACCTCTGCCCAGCAGGGCAGCAACTTTTACTGAGGAGAGAAAAGAGGAGAGGAAGGGATAAACAGATGGCTCGAGGTCAGAGTGAGCAACACAAGGCGCTGCTAACTATCGGATGAGTAAGGCTCTGCTGTTTTGATGCAATTTACCTACATCATAGCAAGAACTGGAGGTATGACGGTTCATACCACTTAAGGGATTTGTAAATGACTCATGACAAGTTCATAGGCAGTTGCTGAGTTTCACTATTCCAACACATTTTTTTCCCAGCTAGTCTGGCATGTGGGAGATACTCTCCTTCTAGCCTGGGTCCACACCTCCTAATTATTGCCTACATCTAAAATGTTGTCATTGTAATAAAATGGTAATTTAGTCCAAATATCAGACTACTCTCGTCCAATGGCTGGGTATGCATTATGGCTCCAACACAAGGTTCACTGAGCAAAATACAATATAAACAGTGGACCTACCTTCTCAGTAAGGGATGCCATTGTTCTTGATTCCAGGATTTATGATCAGACAAAGGTGAAACCCCCTACAAAGTAAGAAGCACACAGTCACACACTGATATTAACATGACGATAATATAGTTTTTTTTTTTTATGGGGACCGAGTGCTCTCTCCTACGTGTTGTTCTGTTCATGGGGAGTTTGCTTCATTGTGCAACACTGACAAAGTGACTATTACACGAGTGCATGCAATTTTTCAAATAAGGAACCTTTCCATTAAACCATATTTTGTTCAAAAGTATCAAAAAAATAAATAAAAATAAAGGACATGATAGCCCCTGCAA